CTGAAAAGGACAGTGCTTTACCACAGGGCTGAAAGAGGACAGATCTCTGCTGGCATTTAATCTGGTGTCTGGTTTACAGCCCTGGGAATTTTCCGGAAAGGTTGTATGTGTGAACAGGTCCTTTTTGAAAATACCGGTAAATTCGTTCTGGCTATTTTCCGGAAAGAGAAGTTGTAACATTACCGGCAATTTGCCGGAATGCTGTGCTGTGTGAACGCAGAAGGAAGATTGCCGTAATAAGCGCGTGCACGTCTAGAACGTGCTGACGTGAGACGTCTGCTTTAGCATATCACAACAGTCAGACGCATTTACGTCCGCGCGGTTTATGAGAATAAAAGCCTTTGAATATTTTTCCAGACACATTTAGCTACTAGAAGTTAGTCAGATCACGTTTATATGTTCTTCTTTATGGTAACTGTGTAAATAATCATCGATGAGATGCTTATGATAAGCCGTTGTTTGTTTACCTTCAAGCTTTGCGTGTACCTGTGAAACAGCCTGTGAGCGCATGCACACGCACATATTATGAACATCTCGACATGCGAAAGTGATCCTGCGAAAGTTGTTCACAATATTGATCATCCACAGAGTTTGTAATGCAGTCAAATGTTTACAAATACAAGCGCAGCCGTTTAAAGCTCATTTGTGGTTATTGATGTCAGAATTTACCGGTATTTTGGAATGGATGTGTGAATGCTCTTTTCCGGAAAAATTCCGTAACGTCCTCGCCTGTGTGAACAGCGCTTTTTTATATATACCGGTAAAGTCGTTCCGTAAATTTTCCGGATATTTACCGGTATCACTGTGTGAAAGGGGCTAAAGCTGTAAATGTGCGTACGCAGTAAGAAATTCAGATGTATGAAACACTGCGGACACTGAATCCCATGCATGTTCTCTTTGTACATCTGAATTAACGTGAAACTGAGCACACGTGCACGAGTACAAAACCCCTCCCTGCCTCCTCCTAAATATGGTAATGACTCTACTTTTTTGAAACCAAACGAAAAAGCAATGGCAAAACCAAGCAAGAAGAGAAACTTCACAGGTGACTTGGAGGTGCTCCTATCAGAGGTAGACCAAAGAAAAACTGTGTTATGTGCAAGTTTGTCCTCTGGAATTAATAACAAAAGAAAAAAAATAGAGTGGGAGAGTAACGCAGTGGAGTCTGAACATCACACTGTGAGTGAATTTTAAAAAATTGGTCCAATGTAGAGGTGCACCGTCAAGGTGTGAACCGAAAAGGCGGGGGAACAGGGGATGCTGAACTAACAACCTTACATCAGACAGACATTACCGACATTACATTTTGGTTACTTTCCAACGCAACCTAAAAACAAGCAAATATCAACGTCTAATAATTTTGGTTCCCATACCTGACGAATAAGTGTCAGTATTTGGCGAGTATATGACGTTGGTTTAAGATGTTGGCTCAACGTTGGATTTTGGTCACAACACAACCTCAAATCAACATCATTTCACGTCATTATTAAACATCAAAATAACATTATCCTTAGATGCTGAAAACCTAAATCGAACCTCATATTAATGTTATTGTGTGTCTGCTGGGATCAGTGACATGCAATCTAAACTCCCTCTCGCTCATTGTGTGTAAAGATTTTGGACATCTGGGACATTTTTTAATGCTTCCAAATGGTTTGCTGCATTTATAAAGTGCCCATCTCTTGAAATTGTTCAATATGATGCGATTTACTGTCTATGTGCGATTTGATTGGACTGGAATCATAGTGACTGCAGGTTGAAGGAAAGTAGTGGATTAAAAGTACCGATACTGCACTAAAAATGTACTCGAGGGAAAGTGAAAAGTACACATTTTAAAAATGACTTAATAAATTACAGTAGACACAGATATTAATCATGATGCAAAGGCATTCACACAGGAACCAGTTGGTTATACACAGACGTCAGGTGTGCACACACACACTGGTGCATAACTGCAGACACACCAGTCAGGTGTAAGTAGAACAAAATTGCAACGGTTTAGTTTACCTGTCACTAATAAATATAGAAGGCAATGTTGCAGTAAGAGGAGGAGAAAGAATCAGAGGAAAAGGAGTATACAGGAGCACAGGAGACAGGGAATGGGGAGGAGGTAGACCTGGAGAAGGACCTGGACAAAGAAAATTTGGAGTAATAATAACAATAATATGGATAATACAGTTTTTTTTTTGTTTGCTTACACACTAAAATATTAGTTTTTTCAACAATTGGCAAACTTGACCTTCAATAAGCAAAATGCAAGGTTAGATTTGCACAACTGTCAGCTTCAAACATTTGCAAAACATTACACACAGTGATTTGCAAACCACTCAACACACTTTTATACATGCAAATGCATTCAAATGAACACACACACATTAATCAGTTAGTTATACACAGCTAGTCAGGTGTGCACATCTAAAATAGAATTGGTTAAGTTTACCTGTCATCAATAAATATGGAAGGAAATGTTGAAGAAAGTGGAAGAGGAAAGATGAGAGGAAAAGAGGTATACAAGAGGACAGAAGACAGGGAACAAGTAGACTTGGAGGAGAACCTGGACAAAGAAAATAAGAAAAAATATTAATAATAATGATGATAGTATAGACAATAATATGGATACAGATATAACTAAAAAAATGATACAATCCAAATAAAAAGAAAATATGAAAAAAACTATAAGTGAGACGAAATAATAATGACCTAAAAAACAGGAAGCACTGAGGTGCGCGGAAATTCAAAAATAAATAAGAATGATACATGATTTTGATATGAGATGAGCTTATATGAAAAGAAAACTTAATTTAAATACATTTAAAGGTGCACTAGGTCATTTTCCACAATGCTAACAGCTTAGCATAAATCTCTGAATTAGTCCCTCCCCTGCCGTCTAGAGCCACGCCCCCTTAAACACGAGCACAGCAAAAGAACCCTCTCTCAGACCTCAAAATATCAGACCTCGAGAACTGTTATGGAATTCATTGAGGCCAGACCATGAGAATTGTTATCCAATAAATCAATAAACTTTCTTATCTGAAGAAAAGGACATGCGAGAAAGAGCCCAGAACTGCATGTGACAAATTCTTGCCATCTTTCTTGCTGAGTTTGGACTTAGAAAACATTTCTCTAACAAATGAACCGTTCATTGCTCTCAGGCAGAAATGTGTATAAGGGTGCGAGTCTGTATCCAGACCGGTCTGTATTGCAGAGCTCTGAAGCTCAACACTATGTATAATTTGGACAATCCTTTAGATTTATCTTTAAGTAATTAATGCTGTTTATTGTTTGATTCTATCATTTTTTTCTGGAAAGTAATGTGTTTTGTTTGGATTCATTCTGAGTTCTCCAAAAATCATTATGTCCTGTAGATTAAAGTGGGGGAAAAAAGGGATGAACATGTCATGTGATTTCCTGGGAATAATATTTCTAAAGGAGCTGTTGACATGGAATTGAACCCGATTTTGGTAAAAACCCAAACAACACACACATGAAAAATGAGTTCTGTGTAATAACAATGAAATGACACACAGACAAAGTGCTGAACCACTGAAGTGTATTTAATACTCTAATAGATCAATTTTAATATATATATTTAATATATAAAAGGCTTTTCTGGCGATGACAGCCTAAAAACGCCTTTCATGGGGAGAATGAAGTCATATGAAGTGCTCAGGTGTGAATTTATTCATAGACTTAAACAGAGTATAAAAGTCTTGATAGTTCTGTGGGTCTCGTCTATCAAATCTGATCTCTAATTAGTATTTTCTATTGGATTCAAGTGAGGTGATTGGCTCGGCCATTCTACAGCAAAAAAAAAAAAGCTTACTTACATACATATATTTCAACATTTAAATCAGCCCCTGAAATAATCTGCATGTGCGTTACTTTTGACTGAGAGAAACCGAAAGTAACCCAAACACATACACTGTAAGCCCGGACAGGTTGATTGAACTTAAAAAATTTATGGAAACTCGCTGCCCTAAAAAAGCTAATTTCGTCTTGTTGAAAAAACAATACTTTTTAAGTTTATTGTATTTCAGTTTTCAAATGCATTTAATTAAATATTTAGTTGACTGAAATAAAGGTTTTTAGTACAACACTATAGAAATCTTAGGTACAATAAACCTAAAAAGTATTGTTTTTTCAACAAGACGAAATTAGCTTTTTTAGGGCAGCGAGTTTCCATAAATGTTTTAAGTTCAATCAACCTAAACTAGAAACATAAAATCTTGACCCGAATGTTATGACAGAAATAATTTTAAACTTAGCTATTCACTATAAATGATTTAATGAAAATACCCCTAATTACAAACAAGGACAAAGAATAATAATTTACTTTACACTTGATTTAAAATCATTTAGAAATATCACTCCGAAACAAGTGACAAAACAAGGAAATGCCTTGTATAACAGATTGTCAATATTTATTGTTATAAATCTTATTAAAACACTTGTTTAAAATATTTAAATACATTTTTACAAACATATCCAAATAACAAACAACCACTAGATATTATTACATTGTAACATTATGGAATATTTACACTTGCCAAACACTAAGGCATAGTTTTAAGTTTTTTTTAACTCACAGTTAGGTACAGTGCTTTAAATGTCCAGTAGGGGGGTCAAAAAAGCGGCTATATGCGACTGCAATGATAGTGAATCAAAAATACATGTTTTGGCAGGCAGAATCTCATTATATTTTTGACGTCAGTTTGAGACCCATGCTTTAAATTAGTTCATAAATTATAAATGTGATCCATACTTATAATTAGACATACATTATAAATTTGATGGTCACCTAAAATTGGACTGAGATTGAATTCAGAACTGCAAATGAATATAAATAAAGGTTAAAGAATTCCTCACAGAAGTGCTACAAAAGGCTAAGCATTTAACCTTCGACCATTCGTCTAATTCTGTCGTTAGGCTGATAGAGTGAAGCCCTACAACAACAATTCAATAAGTCATAAAATAAGAAATAATTCAGCATTTTGGCGTACCTGCGTAAATGAGTTGTAAAGTTCCTTTGTCAGTTCCTTTGGTGTTGCTCACTACGCACTCGTATATCCCAGCATCCTTCAGTCCAAAACTTGCTATACTCAGAGATGCGTTTCCTTTAGCAGTTTCGTTGTAATTTAAGTGTGTGCGATTGAAATAATCAGCACTCTGTCTCTTCAGCTGGTCCTTCTGGTGGTAGTAGCTGTGAACGACACGCATGTCTTCCACCCGCTGCCACGTGATCACCAGACTTGAGGGGTTCGAGTCCGACTCAAAAAAGCATGAAAGCAATGCCGTCGCTCCACGCACAGCGAGTACAGGATAAGAAGGCACATTGACGGAAAACAGGTCTGGAAAAGAAGAAAGAGTACATTTAGACAGGATGATTGCAGAAAGTGCATGTTTGCCATCTAGTGATGGGAATTTTGGATCATTTTACTGGCTCAGACCTTTGAGTCGCGTTCATCAAGATGAGAACGAATCTTTTTTTGAGTCATTTCATTCATTCATTCATTTTCTTGTCAGCTTAGTCCCTTTATTAATCCGGGGTCGCCACAGCGGAATGAACCGCCAACTTATTAGTTTTTACGCAGCGGATGCCCTTCCTGCCGCAACCCATCCCTGGGAAACATTCACACACACACACTCATACACTACAGACAATTTAGCCTACCTAATTCACCTGTACCGCATGTCTTTGGACTGTGGGGGAAACCAGAGCACCCGGAGGAAACCCACGTGAAGGCAGGGAGAACATGCAAACTCCACACAGAAACGCCAACTGAGCCGAGGTTTGAACCAGCGACCTTCTTGCTGTGAGGCGACAGCACTACCTACTGCGCCACTGCCTCGCCTCATTTCATTCACTTAGTTCAATATGCCAAAATAACATTATACGAGATGCTTTCGGACACATCTACAACAAGCTCAAACGTTGAACACACTACAAATAAATCACAACTAGAATGCTACTATACAATGCAATGCTACTATACAAAGAAAGAGAAAATAATGCTTCATTGTTTACTTGGTGTTTTGTCTATGATTAGCTCAGCTCACGTCTTCTACCATGTCTTCGAATTTAAGTAGTTTGTTTACCCAACACTGACAGTCCCATATAAGCTTAACCAATGATTAGTTCACCTTTTGAGTCTTCGGGTTTTTGAGTTCTTCGTTCATCAAGTGACAGCACGCAAAGAGATTTCCTCTAGGATTTTTCCCAGCTGTGGCGGCAGGCCTTTTTGCACAGATCTACCAATTACCTGTGGCGTTATTTCAATGACAAATGTCATGAGCGCAGTATTAGAAATTGAGATCGCATTTATGAAATAGCCTATGAGAATGTGAATCTCTTTGCTTGCGCATCGATTTCCTCTGCTCGGCTGAACTTTGGTCACCTTACATCACTACCTAAATCTAACCTAATATTACATCTTGTGTATATGACGTTGTGTGTCTGCTGGGCAATAACTAAATGCACTACATAATGTTACGTTTACACACATTCACAGATAACATGTAAACACATCAGCTTTTTACAGTGTAATACTCATTACTCTTGAGTACTTTTGAAAGGGTTATTTTTACTCATACTTTGAGTACGATTTAACAGATACTTTTACTCTACTTGCACTACATTTTTAGACAAGTAAAGGCACTTTTGAGTATGATTTTTCAGTACCAGTACCAGTATTTTTCAGAGATCACTCAGATCTTTAGGATCATATAAACTAGAAGTTCCAAGAGTTCAGTCAAAGCAGGGTGAATCTGCCTTCAGCCACTATGCTCCTCACTGCTGGAATCAGCTTCCAGAAATGATCAGATGTGCTCCAACATTAGGCACATTCAAATCAAGACTGAAAACACATCTGTTTAGCTGTGCCTTTACTGAATGAGCACTGTGCTGCGTCCGACAGATCGCACTATTATGTTTTTCGTTTTCTTTTTCATTCTTTTATAACCTATTTTAACTCATTTTAATTTGTTTTTATCTGTTTTTAATAATTTTTATTGTCTGCATTTTATGTTCCTAAACTTGTCTTTTTTATTCCTGTTTATGTAAAGCACTTTGAATTGCCACTGTGTATGAAATGTGCTATATAAATAAACTTGCCTTGCCTTGCCTTGCCTTACCCTTTCCACTACTGCATGCATGATATAATCAGACCTTTGCGCTTAAGTTAAATAAAAATACAAATGTGTTTAAACTTTTATTAGAAAAAATCTTGTTGAACCAACTCAATTGCATGTAATTGTGTAAATGTTTTTATTTAGTTGGTGCTAAACAAATTTATTGGATGGAAATCCTGCCCTCAATTAAGTTCATCCAATGAGTTATTTTTTTGAGCGCATGCTTCGTGTGTTGGCAGCTTAATCAGCAAAAATGCAGTTTGTTGCTTTGCTCAGTGAGCAATATCCCGTCTTAAAATAAGAATATCATGAAATATACATTTAGGATAACTTCCAATAAAACTAAGAGACTTCGAAATGCACGACACAAAATAGACAAACATGATATCATCAGACCTTTGAGTTTAAGCTAAATAAAAATACAAAAGAGTTATTTTTTTTTTGTGTAAGGGTCCTATATATCTATATACAGAAAAAAAGTTAATTATTGTTTCATAATTTAAAGAAATAACACATTGTTTCCATAAATAAAACCTTTTAAAACTGCAGCTTGGAAGGTCAACCCACTGAGCATCATGGGAGTCCACTATATAAAGAAAAATCCTTGATGTCTTCCTAAAAAACATCATTTCTTTTTGACGAAAAAAAGAAAATATTGAACATAATGAATGAAAAGGGGTGAGTGAATCACCGAGAAGTTTTCATTCTTGAAGTGAGCTAACCATAACAACCTTGTAGAAATGTATCTATATTATTATTATTATTAATATAAAGACGATGCAGTGGTGCAGAAAGTAGTGCTGTCGCCTCACAGCAAGAAGGTTGCTGGTTCGATCCTCTGCGTTTCTATGTGGAGTTTGCATGTTCTCCCTGCGTTCACGTGGGTTTCCTCCGGGGGCTCCGGTTTCCCCCACAGTCCAAAGATGTGCTGTACAGGTGAATTAGGCTAAATTTTCCGTAGTGTATGAGTGTGTGTGTGAATGAGTGCGTGTGTGGATGGATGTTTTGCAGAGATGGGAAGGGCATCTGCTGCGTAAAAACATGCTGGCTAAGTTGGTGGTTCACTCCGCTCTCATGACCCCAGATTAATAAAGGGACTAAGCCGAATGAATGAGTTATTATTATTATTATTACTACCAACAACATCTAAAGATAGCATGACCATTGTTGCGATCATGTATCGTCAAGTCTTGGATGTTTTGACATCCCCTACACTATTTATCTGCCTTTTCAGGAAGATTGACTTTCTCTGAGATTGTGTAACACGTTTTGTGCTGGCTTTTCAATCACGCAAAGATTTTGGACAAAAGATACGCAATGTGTGCAGGTCTCCAAAATCTCTGCCTGCCTGATTCTGCCAGCACGTGTTAAATACCAGAAAAGCTTTTAAGCTTTAACCTGAAGGCTAAACACAGACACAAAACGAAAGTGAAAGTCAACATAATAGTCTGTAGCTGGGTTTTATAAGTAGAATGAACAGTTGACTGAGCTCTGATAATGAGGCCTGCTTTAAACCTTCTTACTTCTGCATGACTTCACAAACCACCAGCTCAAAAACAACAGAGAGAGAGAGAGAGAGAGAGAGAGAGAGAGAGAGAGAGAGAGAGAGAGACTGATTCGTTTTACACACAATTCCTTAAAAGATTTCCACAAAAGTTGCTGTTATTTGTGATGAATGAATTAGATGTACAGAAACAGGAATTCTATATTAATTTATAGTAATAATAAATGTTTAGAATAAAATAATCATTCAGAATTTCACATTAAAATGTTATCATTAGGATTTTTATTTATTTAATCAATTATTTATTTGCATAAAATGATTAACATAGAATAAAATAAAAATTCTCAGATGAAATATAAAAGAAACAGTTGTATAGAAGTAAAACCTGCAGGGTTTAGCTCCAACTTGCCTCAACACACCTGCCTGGGTGTTTCAAGTATACCTAAGGCCTTGATTAGCCTGTTCAGGTGTGTTTGATTAGGGTTGGAGCTAAATTCTGCAGGACACCAGACCTCCAGGAATAAGTTTGATGATCCCTGGTCTATAATATAACTTGTAGAACAGGGGTGTCAAACTCAGTTCCTGGAGGGTGGCAGCCCTGCACGTTTTAATTTCAACCCTGCTTCAACACCAACACAGGCTCATTTTAAAAACAAATCGCTATGCACACTTCTGATGATCGCCAAATACGTCCCTGGAGCTACATTTATTAGCATTTTTTGTTTGACCAGCAGAGGTCGCTGTTGTGTACGCTTTTTCAGATTTCAAATTTTTCTTGCGAGTGCCAGTCCCATCTGCTGTTCTCTTGAATCCACCAAAGGCTGCTGTCGACTGACTGAATGACTGACTGACTGAGCGATCAACTGACCAACCCTCCTTCTTCCCTAAACTCAACAAAAGCACAGACGAAACAGCGATTGAAGTCAGCTGACATATATGATGAGCTACCAGACAAACTGGTAAGAGCAGGAAAGCCGTCCATATGAAGGTAAGTGGTCAGCTGGTAAGTGCGAAAAGGAACGGCGTCATACCGCTCCGAATCGTTTGTTTTAAAGACGAAATGCAGCCATATGTACTTCTGGCTACATAATTGGCGATCTCCAGAAATGTACATAGGGGTACGTTAATCCACCAAAGGCTGCTGTCGACTGACTGAATGACTGACTGACTGAGCGATCAACTGACCAACCCTCCTTCTTCCCTAAACTCAACGCATAGCCCTTCGCCGTGGCCATCGCCGTCACTGACGTGCACCTCTCAAAAAATGTAACTACACGTCGCAACAACGCGTAGCGCAAGCTCTGTGATTGGTCGGCTTGGTAGCGCTGACGAGTCGGGGCAGGACCGAGAGCCGTGCGAATGGCGCGAGCGATTGTTTACAAGTGTGGAGTACTGTGAAGGAGCTCCGGATGGAAAGTTTTGTTTTGTGTTTACCTCATAGTTAAAGTTGTTGCACGTCCGCCGGTTCCTGCCTCAAAATGAGCGAGTTTGAGCTACTTGTACATCCCGGAAGTGTTCAGGAAAAGCAAAAAAGCAGCGAAGAAACTCGACACAGAGGAACATTTACACCTCACTGCCAACTAGCGTTTCGGAAGTGTTAATGCAGACCAACAGAGACAGCGTGCAGAAGTATAAATGCACAGCCACGCGCGTTGCATGCGCCATGGGTTACGCCGGTCACTTGACGCAGAAGTATAAATCAGGCTTAACCTGTAG